TCAAATAAAAGGAGGGGAAAGCGGAAATCAAGGCAACTATAAAAGGCCAGAAAGCAGGGCTAAAGCAGATGTTCTCAACCTTTAATTGCATGTTGTAATAACCCAGAAAGCTTTAAAAAAAAAAAAAAAAGATTAAAAAAAAACCTAACTGTCCATCAATAGATGAGTAAATAAACAAAATGTAGTACATATATGCAATGAAATATTACTCATCCATAAAGATAAAGGATGTCCCAATGCATGCTGTGACATGAATGAACCTTGAAAACATTGTCCTGATTGGCATAAGTCAGTTGTAAAAAGACAAATACTGTATGATCTCACTTATATGGAATATCTAGGATGGGCAAATGTATAGAGACCAAAGTTTATGAGTGGTTGCTAGGGATAGGAGGGAGGGACAAAAGGGCAAGCAGTGAGTTTCTGTTTATGGTGATGGAAAATTTGATAATCGATTTTGATGATGATTGTCCAACATGATTAATGTATTTGTTGTTATGTGCCATCAAGTTGGACCTGACTCATAGTGACCCCTCCTTGGGTTTCCGAGGCAGTATCACTACAGAAGTAGATTGCCCAACCTTCCTTCCGAGGAGTGGCTGATGGGTTAGTGTCACTAAATTTATAGGTGAAAAATCTTGAATTGCCAAAAGTTGGGTTAGCTATATCATTACATTAATAAAAAAAAAAATGAAACTGATGGCTAAGGTGAAAAAAAGAAAGAAGTCCATTTCTAGGCTCCACCACAGACAAACTGAATTAGAGCTTTGAAGATAGGACTTTTCCAAAGCTCCTCAGGGCTTCAAACCAGTTCATTCCAGTTCTGACAAGAATTTGCATTTCCATTCAGATATACTGAATCAGAATCTACATCTTAACAAGATCTCTGGATCTAATGCTGCAAAAGATTGAGAGCTACTGATCTAGGAAGATAATCTGGTCAGGGCATGGCTGCTGGGATGAGCAAATTCCACCCATTTCTTCCATCTTTGCATCGTTTACCCAACATAAAGGTGTGGTCATAGTTCAGCTTAGATGTACAGTGGCCATGAAAGGGAGGATCTCACTTCCAAGCAGTAGTTGAGCTTCTCCGGGGGAGTTGACACCTGGATTTACCCTCCCTCCAAGAATACCCACAGTGCAGTTGAGGTAATTCCTCCAAAGGAAATTCAGGTGCTGCTAGGAAGAGGCAGTGGATGCTAAGAAGCCATCTAACAACAGGGACAGAATGTGCACTACTCAGGACGTGAGTGGGCAAGGGATTCAGGCTCCTAGACATATGTTCTAAGTAAAGATACATCTTTGCCTGGAATTTTCTAGCTAAGAGTTTTCAGGCCAGCTTCACCCCTCTTCTCTTCTCTTTTGTGACACCTTATGTGTTATAAGTATTGAGAAAGGAACAAGATACAGAGCCAATCTTATGACAATTATAGAATCACCCTTAAATGTTTCCAAGAAAAAACAAAAGCATGTCTTCTAAGAGACACCAATACATTTCTGCTATTTATTTTGCAACCAGCACTACTTGCAATGGCACCTTGGCAACAGTGCAAATTCCACCTTTGGAAAACACTGGTAGCTTGATAAATGGACCCCATACCTCTTGCAGAATCTCCAGTGTTGAATTCACTCCAGTCTGATTGCAGTTGGGAACTTGGAGTCAAACATAACCAACCTTTCAGCCACTGGAAGAGCCACTCACCAAACAGCTTCTTGCTCTAGAGCACTGGTTCTCAGAGAGTGGTACTCAAACCAGCAGCATCATTGTCACCAGAGACCTTGTTAGAAACAGAAATTCTCAGGTCCTACCCCAGACCTACTGATTCAGAAACTCTGGGGGTGGGGCCTAGCAGTCTGGGTTCTCACAAGCCCTCCAGATGATTCTGAGGCATGCTCAGGCTGGAGAACCACTAACCTAGAAAAAGTATTTTATTACTTTTATCAAAAATATTGTAGCAGGATTTTTTATTTCATGACTCCTTAGAGATCTGTCTAAACCTGTAAAATTAACATTGACAAATTATAGGGGTCAACGGGGAAAAAATGATGTTTGGTAGAATTTTCCTAAATAGGTAAAGTCAGGCACCAAAAAAAAAGAGAGATTTTTGCTTTTTAATTGATGTAGTTACAACGTGTGACCTTTGCCAAAGTTGGTTATTTCTGCTTGTCTCCTCCTCGGTTTGTAAAATAGCATTCCCTGTTACCAAGACCACGTCAGAGGAATTCTAGCAATTATAAACACATTTATAGTCAATATGGTTTATTTTCTCACCTGTTTTGGTTGATGAACTTTTTACTAGTAACTTGCAGACTTAATAAGGTTAGTTTGTCTCATTTACCTTAAAATAAAATTAGTCACATGACAGAGCTATTAAGAAGCAAATTTGAGAAGAAACTACAAAAATAATTTTGTAATCACTTACTTTTTTAAAATAGTGAGATTAACAGTATTCAGAAAATAGTCCAAGGAGAGCCGAGTAGGGAAGTGAAAGCTGTCAGCTGGTACCTTCAATAATTACACATGGGAATCATGAGAATAAAGGGAGGAAAGACAGTACGAGTCTATAACAATACCTCTGGTAGTGAGAATTAACTGAGAAGGCCAAGCACATGTTAAATGCTTAATAATGACTACCTGTTTTTATCATCTGAAACGCACATCTATAAACTGCCTTCTAATTGCCCTACTGCTTTAGAAGGCTTCTTGGGTAACAAATGAGTGATATTCACAGAGAGATCTAACTCCTAATAATGGGCACAGACATCTTTGGGCTGTCCATGCTAAATGTTTCCATGTTTTTCCCTGTGAGCTATAAACTGCTCCCTGTAACTAACTGTAAATTATATTGATGGCATTTTCCTCTGGGTTAATTCCCTGCTAAGAAGTAAAATGCTTAAAATGGCTCTCTTTTCCCTGAACTGAGTGGGTGCATACACACACCATGTAAATGTGTACATTAACAAGCTGAATTGTTCTAAGGAATATGCAGAAGCCACAGTTACAGGAAGTTGTAGGCTATAACAGAAACATGACAGGTTACCTCATAAAGGGGCACGTTATTTGATGGGGGCCAGTGAGTTGCCCTGGAATTTAACTACACATTCATGGGCATTTCATATTATAAATAAATAAATAAACTGTAAATTAACACTGAGAATTTGCCAGAAAATATGGGCACATTCCTAGATTCCAGTAGCCCTCCTGATAGTTACCATTTTGCCTGTTTTCTTCCTTTAAATTCAGGGGAGTGTGAAGGAATGGACTGCACAGGATTTTGGTGGGTGCTTTTTTTATAAAGTCGGGGAGGGGAAAGCTTTCCCATTTTTCAAATTGGGTACTTTCATTATTTAAAAAGAAAGGAAGTAACCAATTAACCCCTAACAGGAGGTACTGCAATCATTTGCCAAGTCTTTTGTACAGTCAGACTGGTCTAGTATACAGGATTTTCCCAACTTATGCTGGATCCTTGAGAAGGCCTATAAATAAGACCATTTGTTTGGTCTCAAGATGACTTGCATTTGCAAACTGAAGAATGTTCCAATAGAAGTTTTATAGTGATGCACTAGTCTGCAAACTGGCTCAGCCAGTAGTCAAAACAAGTCACTACGGGATCTGGGAAGCTGAAGTCCTTGAATGGGTCAGATTATCCTGAGTCTAATTTGGCACAGATTAATTTGGGCTATAAATATGCAGCCTCCTTTTATATTTTCAACCTGAAAGGCTTAAAACAAATAGAGGAAATGTGGGTGAAGCTAATGTGTGTGAAGCTAATGGTGACTTCAAAGTATAAGAAGAATGAAATGAAACTAAAATTCACATATTTGTGCTAGGGCACTTCTTTTTATGACAGTGAGCAACAATCCACTAAGATTATAAAACACGTATAAGTTGTTCCTCCGTTGATACATACCAAAAAAAAAAAAACCACTGCCATTGAGTTGATTCCAATTCACGGTGACATTACAGCACAGAGTAGAACTGCCCCATAGGGTTTCCAAGGCTGTAAGTCTTTATGGAAGCAAATTGCCTCATCCATCTTTCTCCCACCAAGCGGCTGGGTGGGTTCAAACCACCAACCTTTCAGTTAGCAGCCAAATGCCTTAACCACTGTGCCACTAGAGCTCCTTCAGTTAATACATAGGATTCTTAAATTTAGCTGAACATCTGGAAATCGAGTCATTGAAGAATGTTGAACACACAGCAAGAAACACACTTATAAGGTATTGATTGGATTTTCATAGTAATTTGTTCAAGAGTCACAAACCCAGATACCTATGAGAGAGACAAATGATGCAAATCAGAGATGTGGACCAGGTAACTTCCTGCGCCAGGTAAAGAAGAAGCTATCAGTCAGCTATTGCCAATTAATGTCATTTGTTGTGAATTTTCAAGAGAAACCAGAAATCAGAATTGTATTATAAAACTTTCACATTTATAAAATACAAGGCACCCTTGTGGCACAGTGGTTAAAGTGCTCATCTGTTAACCAAAATGTAGGCAGTTTGAACCCACCAGCTGCTGCTCCATGGATGAAAGATGCAACATTCTGCTTCCATAAAGATTGGCAGCCTTGGTAACTCTATGGAGTAGTTCTACTCTGCCTATAGGGTTGCTATGAGTCAGAATTGATTAGACAGTAGTGGGTTGGGTTTGGCTTTGGGTTATTCATAAAATGTTGGCAACTAGTTCAAAATTTTGTAAAAATCTGAAGCCAAACAATAACAGATCTGGAAGCTGGATTTAACCTGCAAACCACCAGTTTGTACATTTTACCATTTTACAATAATAAGCTTAACAATTCTGCATATGTCTTCAAAATGTTAATCCAAACAAACAAATGCCCCTTCAGTAGCCAGCTGTAAATAGTAAGGCTACTTTTAAGGTCACATCAATCATTATTGTTGCTTTTTCTAAAATGGACAGTTTCCTCCTGGTGGAGATTTTATTTGATAGTATCAGCATATAAGGTCCCATCATTTCATAACCTGTCTTCTTTCAGGCCTGATGGAATTGGAACTGTGACTGTTGAAGAGAAAGAACGTTTTGAAGAAATCAAAGAGAGACTCCGGGTTCTGTTGGAAAATCAGATTACACATTTTAGGTAAGGATTTGGATTCAGGGCTTCTCAGGAGGTTGGAGCCAGGGAGGAGTAAATAAAGGGCTTGATTTTCAAAAACTGTAAATCTATCAGAGACACACTGTACATTTAGAAACAAATGAAAGCAAAACGAAGACAAGGTTCGGCAATAGCAATAGACTTTGAATTCTTAAGTTCATTTTATTTCTACTAAAAGAACTAAGCCTTCCTGTGCAAGCTGACCTTGCTCACCAATCCATTATATAAAGTTGCATTTGAAGCACCTTCAAGCTCCCTAAATAATGCAATTGAAAATACCCATGAATCAAATAAAAATGAACAGGAAAGGAAAGCAGCAGTAACCTTAGGAGAGCCTCCACCTTCTCCATTACCTGCCTTCTTAGAAAGAGCACTAGCTGGCTGTATGGAGAAAGAAGGAGGCTTGAATCAGCCTTGGCTTGAGACAGTCAGCAGATTGCCGCTCTAGAGCCTTCCACCACACAGCTCACTTCTCCTTTGGAGAAAATTTGATGTTTCTAATGCTACATTGGAGCCCTGGCAGCATAGTGGTTAAAGCTTTCAACTGCTAACTAAAAGGTCAGAAGTTCAAACCCACCAGCCTCTCCACAGGAGGAAGATGAGGCAGTCTTTTTCCCTTAAGATTTATAGCTTTGGAAACCCTATGGAGCAGTTCCACTCTATCCTTCAGGGTCACTATGAGTCAGAATCAACTCAATGGCAGTGGGTTTAATGCTACACTGGAGCCCTGGTAGTGCAAAAGTTAAGTGTTCAGCTGCTAACCGAAGGGTCTGTGGTTGGAACCCACCAACCACTCTGCAAGAGAAAGTCTTGGCAATCTGCTTCATAAAGATTATGGCCAAGGAAGCTGTCAAACCTTCTGTCATAAAGAGTTACTATGAGTTGGAATCGACTCAGTGGCACACAGTAACAACAGCAACAGTGCTGCATTGGTGATTTCACAATAGTAATGTTGTTGTTGTAGTTGTTATGTGTCGTTGAGTTGGACCCGACTCATAGCAACCCCTCCTTGGGTTTCCGAGGCAGTATCACTGCAGAAGTAGATTGCCCCATCTTCCTTCCAAGGAGTGGCTGGTGGGTTTGAACCGCCAGCCTTCTGGTTAGCAGTCAAGTGCCTTTAGATACTACGCTACCAGAGCTCCTTCAAAATAGTAATAATAGTTCCACACACAATAGTAATAGTAGTTCCTGTTTATTAAACACTTAATTATGTGCCATCTATAGAACTATAGGCTGGACAAGCATTTACTCTTTTCTCAAATTTTCACAACTTTGTAAGGTAGTTATTATATTCTCTATTTAAACAGAGAGTAAACTAAGGCTCAGAGAGGTAAGTAACTGTCCAAGGCTACCCAACTGGCAAGTAGAAGAAGAGGACGCATACATAGGATAGTCAGAGTTTAAGTAGCTCCTCCTGTTTCCTCTGTACCATGGAGGAACATTGTTCTGAAGGACTCATGTCAGCCTGAAACAGTCAATAGAACTTTTAATGATACCTGCCATCATAGCTCTATCTGTGCCTTCCAAACCTCTGTGATGAACTTTATTGATCATATGCTTATTACATTACATTACACTTCACTACACTGGCTACCTATATTTCAGATACTTTGGCAATAACAAAAGATTCAGTAGCCATTAAAAACCACAAGCAAGGATAGACTGCAGAATCACGAATAGGCTCTAAACACAATCCTCTGTTTCATATTTTAATCCTTTGGGAATTTAAGTAAGTATGTTTGAATTTCAGCCTGTTTTAACTAATATGTTTTAATGTCGACGTCTACACAAAGAAGGAAAGTCACATTTAAGCTAACAAATGGTTCTCCTTCACAATAGAAATCTAAACAGAACTTAAGTCATCATTCTAAATATTCTCTCCTGCTGCAGACATTTGCAGAGTCCCTCTTTAGACATTATTCACATGTACACATACATTATATACACACATATATGGAGAGAATTCCAATTAACATAACACAATGTGACAAAATAAAAAGCATTTGCCATTCCTTGGAGAGAGTTGCTATAGGAATCAAATTGTAGCATATTTCATGCTAAATGGAATAGATTTGGGCAACCTGAAGAATCTTATGTCTTTTTTAGGTATTGCTTTCCATTTGGTCGACCTGAAGGTGCTTTAAAAGCTACTCTCTCACTCTTGGAAAGGGTAAGAATGAAAATAAAAGACATGTTATGTATATACAGACATATGCACATAATTGTGATGAAATATTATGGTTGAATGGCCTCGTTTGTAACTTCTTAAGGATTTGCTCATACTTCATCAAATACAAGAATAAAAGTGAGGGAATTGCCAAAATTCTAGTTATTTCATCCCCAGACTCCCAAATACTTGGGTATATTGAAGATACACTCCTAGCCCCAATACTTGAATGGGCTTTGGCATCTTAAATGTGCAGTGCAATTCTTGTATGTTATCCTTAATACTGGCTGTGAATCAGTATGAAGTCACAAGGAAACATTTATAACTAATTTTAAACTTGAACCATTTGAGACGTATACATGAGTCACATATTTGTTTGAACCTTCTTAATAATTCTTTTGTTTTTTTTTTTGCCACCTAAAGGTTTTAATGAAAGATATCGTTACCCCAGTTCCACAAGAGGAGGTAAAAACAGTCATCCGTAAATGTCTAGAGCAAGCTGCTTTAGTCAACTATTCACGACTGTCAGAGTATGCTAAAATTGAAGGTAAGGCTTCCTTCTGCTCCCGGTTTTGAATTTAAATTTTAGTATGCCTCCCCGGGGAAGTCTCTCTTTTTTCTGATGGGCACCAGAAATCAGTCCAGTTGAGTATATTAAGCTGAAACTGGAAAGCACTGGAGATATGAAAGCTTCCTTGGTTATGCCAAATAAATAAAGATCAGGAGCTCAGGAAACAATCTTTGTAGAGGAAGAATATTGAATACAGGACATTACCAGATAAACTACGTTTCTTCTGAGACTGTGGGTTGTCTCTATGTATCTGGTATGTGGTCAGTGTTTTCCTATGAAAGTTTTGTAGACTTGCTACCTTTTTTTTACATAGAGAAAAGTGAAAGAGTTTGAAGGAAGACAAAAATTGAATAAAGGAACATTGGGGTTTTGCTTAAGTCTTTCTTATCCCTTGAAAATAGGATATCTTTTGGTAGTATTTCAAACTCAATGACAGGTTAGTGTCAAGCCACCTCCGATGGATCCAGGATTGATCGAGATCTCATTCATTCTTGTCATGCTAGACCTGGGATGGTTGTTACCACTGCCCTCTCAAATTTTAGGGAAGTGATCACTGATGACCCCATAGTATCCAAAAAGCCCTTTGAGTAAACTCTACTGGAGAAGTGTAGTTCTTTGGGACCTATACGTTCACAAAGGTATTAATCACTTTTCATTGTCACCTTATTGGCTGCTATAGGGTGATTTGAAAACTACACCCAACTTGACCAGTGGTGTAAGTGTATAAATGTGGAAGTTCTGTGTGCAAAACTCAATGTGTCCGTATTCTGGAATCTGATGTTCTCTCACACATGAAACACACACCTGACTAAAACCAACAAATAAACATTGTCTGCCCTCAAGATAAGACTAGGGGGAAGAGAAAAGGAAAAAAAAAAAAAAAAACCTGACTAACCATATCCCCATCACTTATCTTGCCAAAGTCCTTGTTTCCTTAGAGAATTTTAGGTTACGATCATATTAAATTTGTAGCATTCTGTACATTACACGTCTGCCTTCTTTCAATTTTATCTGTCTGACCATGCAAATTGTGTACCAGTGGTAATGAATTCATTGTTATGCACCCAGGGAGAAACACTTAAGAATTGGGCACTAAAAGGATGTTTATCAACTCTTGACTTGGTAATGAGTGTCAAAAATAGAGGAACAAGAAGATCATGAAAGAGCGATATTAGCAAATAAATGTTCCTGCAGCCACCTTCCCAGAACGTAATAATTGGTTGTGTTTGGTAAAGTCAACTGGGTACCTAATAATTCTAGGCAAGGCCACACATGGGCTGGGATCAAGAAACGTTTGGTTGCCATGGTTGCTGCCTCGTAGGTCTTGGTCTAGCTATTACTAGTCTTTTGGTAAGATCTGCTCTCTTCTTTCAGATAAATATATCCAAAAACAAACTTTAAGATCTGTAAGTAAAAATGCATTCATTTCCAAAGTAGATCAGCTAGTCTGTAATTTCCTTTTGTGCCTCAATTCTTCTTGGTTGTGTTAATTATCTTTTGCACTGTGACTTTTAGGTCTGGGGATTCTTTGAAGAAACCAATCCTTTTTTTCCAACTCTCTTTTCAGAGAAGTACCTCATTCCACACAACCTGCTCTCTTCCGCTTCTCTCCTTCCTTGTCCGTGATTGGCTCAGCCACATTTTGACGTTACTTCTGCAAAAGTGGCTGTGACACCAATTTCAAAGCATGCTGGGATTGTTAATTCAAACAACCCAACATCCTCTGGCTGCATGTATTAGGTTTTCTTTCATGAACATAGTCCACTGTAGGCTGAGACACTACAGCTTTAAAGATATTACTGCCAGACAACTTTCTTTTACAAGGTTCTGATCCTACCCTCAGAAAAGAAATCTTCCAAGTTTACATTTGAGTTCCTTCTATGAGCATTAACAGCTTAGTGACCTGAGAATTTTGGAAAGAAGTTGTGGTAATATTGCTGGAGACTATGTTTATGAAGAAATACCTCAAGAGCCTTAGATACTAAAGTCTGAAATCCTTAGTATCTTGGAGCCTTAAATTGATAAAACTCTGTTTCCCTTTACTCATGATGTTTTTGGTCATTGTATTCTTGCAAACAGTTCTAAAGAGACGTGTAAAATCATGGTCACAATCTCTCTCGTGACTCACGGCATGCTGAATGGTTAATCCAGTAGATCTCCAGTTTTGAAACTCCTTTTTCTTTTATCCTGTGTCAATCCCAAAATACTCTGTGGCTATTTTCCTTTGAGCTAATGTAACGTTTTCCTCTAACCTATGACCTATAACCTCTTTACCTCTGACCTAAGCCTCTTGCATGCCCAAATCCTCTTTTATAGGGAAAAAGAGAGAAATGTATGAGCATCCTGTCTTCTGCTTGGCCTCCCAAGTGATGGATTTAACCATTCGTGAGTACCTACCACCTCCTCGCCATGCTGTCCTCACTCTTTCTGTTTTCATTATCTCAAGAAATCCAGATCCAAACCAACTCACTCTCCTTGCTTCAAGTTTTTTAGCATTGGCTTGTCTGTTGGTTCTGTCTGTGAAACCCAGTGTGAGAAGTCCAGTCACTTTTTATCAGCCTAAAATAGGTTAGACAATTAAGCCATTTGTTTGTGATAAACTCAGATTTGTCTTAAGTTTTTCAGTTATTCTCTGTCTGTGACCTGAATGCATTTTTACTTTGCTTGTGTGTAACTCCAATTTGTAAAGTGCTTGTCACTGGTACACAATCCAAAGGTAGCAGCTAGGAGGGGGAACATTGCTTTAGGTGTCAGATAAAGGATATTTGGGGCAAAGTCATGCCTTCTTTTCCATGTTTAAGTCGTCAAAACTGTTACAGGTATGAGATCACACAAGGTGGTCCATTCTCTATGAAAATCAGATCTTATTATGCCTCTTGTCTGTATTCACTCAAGCTGGTACGCTTTTCCTTGTCCTCTCTGGAGATTTTGACCTGTCCTTGTCCTCTAAGCACTGGCTACAACATATGACTTAATTGCCACTTGGAGAGTTCATGTATGTTTCATACCTTGATTTCACATTAAACTTAATTTTACTAATTTTCTATTTGTGCAGCATTTTCCACCTCTATGAAGGAGCCTTTTTTTGCTGGCCCCCACACTTCGGGTGGTGGGAACCTAAGGGCAAATTTTTTTTCCAATATCATGTATCACACATAAGTGGGGGGCATTTTGGTCCACTTGCTCATTAATCCTGCATATGTGTTCTTGTTTCTCTCTCTCTTTTCTCCTTGTTGTGCTCTCTTTTTCGTATAGAAAATCAAAAGGACGCAGGTGAACCAATTGTATATGCATTCTAAACTATCAGGACTGTTGAGTTATATTTAGTTTTTGTTTCTGTTTTTGTTTTTCAATAGCTCCTTAAGGTATGTACTCCCAGAGACTGATATGGAGTTGCAATAATACTTAAGGAGTTAATTTGTGCTGTCTAACTCTATCTCATGCCTATTAAAGGTTGACCTTTTTAGAGTAGAACTTCCGTAAAGGCATAAGCTTTGATGGAACAGAATTCTGGTTTGCTACAGAGCTTCATTTCATCTTTGGTTTCAGGATTCCAGTGATTTGGCCTCATGTGTTTTTTTGTTTTGTTTTCTAAAAGTTACTGATCCAAACTAATCTTTCTTTTCTGTTTTTCATTTCTTTTTTCTGTCTTCTGCCCTATTGAGAACTTTGTGTTCTTTGATGAATGTGTATCAGCCAAGACAGGAAAGTTGTGTCCGTGTTGTTCTTGTGTGTATCATGTGATGAGGCAGAATGGGTGAGCCAGGTGCCTGGACAGGGGCTGTTGCTAGAAGTGTCTTGAAGGCAAAGCTGTTAGAAAGGGTTCTGGCTTTGGAAATTTTCTTCTTCTTTGGTTCCAGAACTTCTGAGCATACTTTGAGGAGGACTCTAACTTAAAACCTTAATAAATATATAGTAGTGACTAATGTTTTGAAATTCTAAAGGATCTCAAAAGATGACTGTCATTTAAGTGAAGTTAACATTGTAGGTCGAGCATATTTCAGATCAATTCAGAAGGCATTTTTGAGCACATGCTAAGCTCAAGGCTAGTGATAAGCATTTGAAAGCACACTATCTTATGTTCAAGGCACAGTACCTTTCTCTCCATGGTAGAAAAGGTATTCATTCAATAAGTCTTTAGTGGAAGCCTACCATGTGCCAGGTACTATGTTAAAAGCCAGGGAATATGCAAATGAGGAGGCCACTGCTGCCCTTACAGAGCATATGTACAAATAGGTGCATATGTCGAGGTTACAAACTCAGCCCACCACAACATGTATTGATAAAGTTAAATGAAGAGAGATGGGCCACTGTTAGCAAACCATGAAAGTCTTCACAAAGGTGGTGAAGTTGGAGCTGAATCTTGAGAGATGAATTAAAATCAGTGAAGGGGATCTGGGGCTGGGGAGTGGAAAGGTCTTCTACCTAGAGGGAATAATCTGTGGAAATATGTAAAACCATATAGCTAACAGAAATGGCTAATGCTTATTGAATGCATACTCTGTGCCAAGTGATATTCTAAGTGTTTTATATGTGTTAGCTCATTTAATCCTCACAACACCTTATGACGTAGGTATTATTATTATTGCCATTTTGGAGATGAAGAAACTGGGGCACAGAGAGGTTAAATAACTTAACACCCAAAATAGTAAATCATGGAGCTGAAATCTTAGCCCAGGCAGAGGCTATACTCTTAGCTACTCTAATTCAAAGTGGCTGCAAAACAGGGTGAAATGATTGGGATGAGGGTGCTGATGGTGGCGAGCGAGGCAGGGACAAGATCTCAAAGGTGTTTCTGTGCCATTGCAATAAAGAGTTCAGACTGCATCTTACAGTTGAGGGTTTCTTAGCCTGGAATGTATGCCAACTTTGGCACGTTTATGGGTTTTTCAGAGGAAAAAGTCCACAGCTCCCACCTCAAAAGATGACAGAGAGCCATTGAAGGTTCTTTAAGCAGGGAGATGGCTTGGTGATTT